TTAAATTATGATTAGACAGAATGCTCAACTTCAGTTAACTGAATTAATTCAACCAAGAGGTGAAAAATTTGTTTCAAGATCACTCTTACGGAGAATTGGATTTAAGAGAGAGATTACCAGCTTTTGTTTAGTATCAATACACAAATTGGTATATTTTTTATATATTGAGATACAAATATATATATATATATATATATATATATATCAGGATAGAACTTAGTAGTATCTGGATAAAAATAAGGATAAAAATAGAGGTACAAATGATCATGTAAACATATTCTCCTGATTAAGAAGGATAAGTATGTTCATTCCCAAAAAAAACTATCTAGTTACAGAAACCCAAGCAGTAGGATATAGATGCAAGCTGAGAATTGTAACATAACTCCCTGAGTAAGCTCCTTGCCATGTACTGAAGCCCAATGATGACTAGGGAAGATGCTTCCCCCCCCTCACGTTTTTATTCAGGAAAAGATGGAAAAGTGCAAAGAAGAAAAGATGTTGGCCTATCAAAAGATCCAAATGTATGTCAAAATAAACTCTGGACCATAGGACATCCTAAAGTTTGAACAAGTATTGTTTTCCACTCGCTGGTCGAAAGTTCTTTAGTCCAAATAAGTGCTCCTAGTTTGTGTAATCAACTGAAGATGGTAGACATGTTTGTGTGTATGAAGATCCAACAGTGACAGATTATCATCAAATCTCCACAAGATTGGATTTATAACAGGATAAAAGAAGTTAATCAATCTGATAATTATGCATAGTCTGAGAGTTAACTAAGTGATCTCTAGTATCTTTTTAGTCTGTGATTATGCTCTTATCAGAAAACCTGAATACTACAATTAATTCAACAGAGATTTCTGGTTGGTTCAGTGTTTCTTAGTTAATGGTTCTCTGCAGGAACTTACATTCTCAGGTAAAATAATACTATTATTCAGGTTAGCATGAGAAATTCATTATCTGGGGGTCAGAGAGATAGCAGAGGGTTAAGGCACATGCTTAGCATCTAGCTGACACAAGTTCAATCCATGGCACCACATGGTTCCCTAAGTGTCACTGGAGTGCAGACTTGGAGGCCCCTAAAAACCTCTGGGGTAGCCTGGGTAATCCCTGGTACCAGGGGGCGCAAGTAGCATCACATCCTTGGGCCCTCACTCTGAACTACTGACCTGGATGGCTTAAAATTGGCAGAGCACCACTGAGGAAACCCCTGCAAAATACTCATTATTCAAGACTCCACCTTTATGGTGACGTGTGAAGAAGCAAATGCCATCAAAACAAGAAAACATTAACTAGTGAAGTGATCTTCCATTAAAATGTCAACACCCCAGTAAACATTCCTCTCTTTGAACAGGCATTTTTGCCACTACCCAAGTGTATAAAATATTTCAGGAAGAAAAGAGAGGCAAAGACTGCGAAATAAGATGGATGAGAGGCTGATGAAGGAGTACAAGGGTAAGGCGCTTGCCTTGCACACAGTCCACTCAGGTTCAATCTTGGCACTGATATGGTTCCCCGAGCACAGCCAGGAGTGATTCCTGAGCAAAGAGTCAGGAGTAAACCAAGTTTGGGTGTGGCCCAAAACTTAAAGAGAGGAAATGATCTGAGAGAGTTCTATCAACTACCTAAAAATATTTTAAAACTGACAAGGATAAAGACAGAAATACAGAACAAACAAAAACAAAGAGAAAAATGAAGAAGTTCTGTGTGTAGTTCTTATTTAATTTTATGTTTTGAGTACTCGGCAGTTTCCTGCTAGCTCTGGGATCAGGGATTCTGACTGCCAGTGCCTGCAGTGTTCCAGGGGACGATGCGCAATGCAGGAGATCAGACCTGGGTCCAACAACTAGGCAGATAACCTGTTATTAGATACTATCTCTCTGGCCCCTAGTTGCATTTCTCATGACCTTCTTTTCACCATGAAAGTCATTCATTGACACTGTTACAATTTTACTGTAAAAACGGTCCCACCCTCCGAAAAAAAGATAACACTGATTCCTTCTAAGAAATAGCAGAGTTGCTATCATAACAAATTGGGTTAAATATAAGATAAACTTACTTTTATTTTCTCAACTTAAAGTCATAACCTTCTATTTACTATAAAACCTTGGTACTCATTTCAAAATATAACCTATTCTCCCGGGAAAATAAAAAGACATTTTGAGTTAAATAGCAATCAGTCATAAAAGGTAGTTTTAAACAACATGCAAATTTGTAGATACTTATGAATTTAATAAGAAAGCAGAAAATTATCATGCTTTAAATCTAAAAGGCAATATTCACATAAAATATCCCTCGAAATAATCATTAAGACGATGCTTGATTAGCTTAAGCATGGGTCAGGTCAAGTTCGGAGTCTAGTTTAAAATTGCTCTTACTTTTAAGATAGGGTTACTTCACTATCTGCACAACAATTTTCAAATGCTGGATTTAGAAAAACCACAAGCATAGTATCATGAGACTTTTTAGAGTAAACAATAAAAGGGACCGATGAGAGCAATATGGAAACCTAAGCAATAGGTTTGCCTAGCAATAGCATAAAACTAGTTTGTTATTATAATTGGCCTGATAGGAACAGAATATAATAAGTTAACTCAGAATTAAGTGATTTAAGAAGGTTTGAACTCAGAACCTCTTCCGCACTCAACTAGGTCCTCTTCACTCTATAGGTGTTGTTCACTACACATGTTCTCTTTCCATTAAGCAAAACCACACTCTGACAGGAGTATAGAGTGAAGAGAGAAAGAACTGTGAGACCCACTAGAGAGAACTAGAAAGAATTGAAAGTGTGCCTAGAATAGTATTGGAATGACAAAGTTATGAGTAATTGGATGTCTTCAAAATATTATCATGGCAATGCTTGGGAAGTCCAACCGGAAGTGGATATAGGGATTCCAGTGTCCATCTGCATGAAAGATGGGGGAAATGGCCGCAGGCCTATGAGTTATGCTAACGGATGAAGGTCTGGCAGAGATGACAGGAGAGTGGATCACTCTTGTCAGTTCAGTGAAACAAGGGCAGAGCAAATGATTCCCATTAAGACTAAACTATTTATGTACTCCCAAAATGTCATAGCTAGAAACAATCTCTCTAGCCTCAGTATTATGCAAATTCATTCCAGAACCACTGCCTTCTATTTTACTGCTATTTACAGATTTTAGTTCTACAAATAGGTCATAAACTCCTTGAAAGTATCCATACCTGATTTCCCTTCACAGCTCTTATAGCACCCAGCTCATTGCTCAATGACTCTGCAGATACACTACTGACTGCCATTTTGAAGTCCTAATGACACAGGTACAAGTGTATTATTTCATTCAAAGTGGCAAGAGTTGCTATGCATAGAATACTGAACAATATGGGACTTAACTTACTTTTTTTTTAAGTAATGGCATATATGGCCTAGATTGCACTACATTTCAAAAATTTGGTGACAATTATTTTTGGTGGCAAGTGATGCTTGAAGAAGTACTTACAAGATGAATGCACAGCCAGGAGTCTTTACATAAATGCGAAGGTTATGCTTTGATCCACAGTTACAGTCACCCTTTTTAGTAGATCACCATGTGTCTCGGCCACCTGTGGTTGGCCCAAGGCCACTGCTCAAAGAGCTCATTCCCAGTGGTCTCATCGTGGGTTGGCATGGGGATACTGTTTCCCATAAATGGTCTTTTTGACTCCTTTTAAGAATAAGCCAGGGCTTTTTTTATTGCCTTTCCTTTAAGGCTGCCAAGCCAACGGTTGGTAAGGTTGCCCCACTGAAGGGCAGGTGCTCTACATAACCAGCACACCAGTGCTGGGTTACATCAAATACTACTGATTCTACCTCTGAACTTTGCTAGCAAGCCCCTTTTGTTACTTAATGCTTGCTAAATCTCTGAGGTCAGGATGACCAAATTATCCATAAATATAGAGGCAGGTATCTTACAGTATTTAAAAGAAATGTGCGCTGATGACGGCAGGTCTTGACATCTGTTTTCATACTTCTACTTATAGATGAAGGTTGATGCCTCTTAATCCTGAAACAGTTTTTCAAATGGCAGGCTGTGACTCATTAGTAGTGACATCAATGTATTTGATGCCACAATTATTTATGTGCATTTATATAAGAAGAACAGAAAATGGAGAAGCACACATTAGTAAAATGAGTTTGTTGACACTTTCGATTCAGTTAAATATAGAACACTGTGTGGATACGGAATTAGACATCAAAATATTTCCACTTGGATCTCCATCAAAAGAGTTGGGAAAATGTTGCCTAGCATTTCTTAAAGGTCACATAGTTCTTTGCTAACAGTTTTTCTACTTGACTATCTTTGGATTACCAATTGTCCAGATTTAAAAGCTAAGAAATTGAAATACTTTACTTTAAACTTCCTTGCCTGACATAGGGGCAATTTTAATATTTCATTGGAACATGTGACTAAGGCCTCCAAGAGTGGTATCACTTCTTGAAAAGCTTAAATTCTCCCAATGAGATTTTCTAAATATAAAATCACTGCCTCGATGCTGTCAACAGACCACTTACTTTTGCATTTCTATCTCTGATTAGGAACCAGAAATTACACTAACCAATACCACTTTCACACAGCACTTGCTATTTGCTTATTGTGTGAACCTACATAAGTATTCAATTCAGATTCTCTCTCTCTCTCTCCCCCTCCCTCCCTCCCCACCTATACAAAGTATTTTCACTTAGTATTTCCTTCAAATCAGTTTTCTTATTTTAATAATATTAAGAAACCATGTGGAGAGCATGTCTTCTATTTTGCAAGATTTTAACACTGACTATATTTTCAAAGAAAAGATGCATTTTTTTAATATCATGAGATTTTAAAAACATACAGGAGCCACCACATGGTTCAAAGCAAAGCATAATAAATAAACCATATTCATTGTCTGAGAATATTACTTTAAAATCACAGGAAGGAAAATCTAATAAACTCCATATCATCTCTTCCCCATTCCCTTCACAAAAACTAAAGAAAAAAATAAAAACGTACCTTCACTGTCCTTGAATTTCTTGATGGCCACAATTTCATGTGTTTCCTGCAATGAAAAAATAAAAGAAAAAAGCTTAAGGAAAGTCAGTCTTCAATTTTTTTCAAACTGGAAATGTCAGTGGTCTGGGTTATATTCTGGAAGAGAGGAACAAGAACCGGAAGAGGAAAACATAGGTCCTCCTCCCCAAGCCCTCATTTCTTGGCTCCAAAATTCTCTTTGTTGCCATCCTGCAGACATTGTCTAGAAAGCCAAAGAATAAGGGGCAGATGATTGGGTACATAGAGCAGAAATGGTAATAGGACAGATGTGCCAATATCTGAGTCTACACAAAAGAGTCAGGGTGAATGGTGAGAGGCCAACAGCCCTTGGTACTTCCCCGGAAACCCTGGAACCAACTGAAAAGGGCTCCTGGGGCCAGAGAAGAGGCTTCTATAATACTTGGCAGTTACTGGGAACAGAAGCCTATTCCAAGTCACATCTCTTCGCTTCCCTGCTCCTAACAAAGCTAGCTGTGCACCAGTTTCTCTCCACATAGTTAGTCATTTCATAGCCAAAGTGGGGTAAACATTTGTCACTCAATTCCAGTCACCACCTTCCCCCTGCCCTTATTTAGTGCTCATGAACTAAGACAAGTACTTTGTGAGCAGAATTCTACTTAACACATGATCTTTTTGGTAGAAAAAGAGAAAAACAAGATTTGGAAAGGAAAATGAAATACTGAGAACAAAGAACCACTAGGCAAAATAACTTGAATCTAAGTCTTGTCCACAAAAGGAATTTTTTACATTATGGTAAAGGAAAATAGATTCTTCAAAGTTAAAATATATTATAAATATTTTCTGAAATGAGAATGAAAAGCAACCAAAGATCTTCTGCCTGGATGAGGCCTATTGTTTATTCTAAGTGGGAAAGATTTGGAGGAGCAAATCTTTTCATAAAACATAAACTATGCCTGTGGCTAGAGATGCAGCCAGTGGGATGGCACATACATGACGGGCATGTTAGAGCCCCTGTGTAAGCTCTCCAGCACCTTAAATCAACAAAAGTTTCGTGCCTGCATCAGAATAAATCTTTTAAAAAATGAGACACAATTCCAGGCCATAACCATAAAAAGTACAACCATCAACTTAATGAAATGAACATTCTTTTCAAAAGCAAAAGCTCACAAGAGAATTGATCAGAAAATGTTATCCTATACTCTATACTGAAAACGCCACATATCTTTTAAAATTGCATTCTGTTAAAACTTGGTGTGACTTTTTATTTCATTTTAAAATTTTTATTTATTTATTTTTGGTTTGAGGGCCACACCTGGCTCTGCACTCAGGAATCACTCCTGGCAGTGGGATGTTGGAGATCTAACCGAGGTCAGCCACATGCAAGGCAAGCGCCTTCCCCACTAGACACTCTCCAGCCCTTAGTGTTGGATATTAACCCTAAATTGCCCCCTTTCCTCCTCCCAGAGAAGCTTACCCTCTTGCTAACATCCCTAATTTATTTTATTTATTTATTTTATTAAAAAAATTTTTTTAATAGTGAGACATCATGAGGTACAGTTGCGGACTTAAACATTTTTGTGCTTGGGTTTCAATTATATAATGATCAAATACCATCCCTCCACCAGTGCCCACTTCCCACCACCACGCATCTCAGTATCCCTCCCACCCCCCCTCCCCCCATCCCACCCTGACTCTGTGGCAGGGCATTCCCCTCTGTTCTCTCTTTCATTTTGGGTGTTGTAGTTTGCAAAAGAAACCCTGAGTGGCAATCATGTTTGGTCTATAGTCTACTTTCAGCATGCTTTTCCCATCCTGGGAGGGTCCTCCCAACACCTTTATTTGGTGTTCCCCTCTTTATCTGAGCTCCCTTTTCCCTAGTATGTGTGGTTGACCTCCAAGTAATGGAGTAGAATTCTTGGTACTAATCAACATCCCTAATTTAAAGTTTATCTTTAACCTTCCCTTTGTGTTCTCATTGTCTCAGTTCCCCAAGTCAGTCTTCATTACTTAGAAGACAAAACTTTCTGGTAATCCTGTGCTTTGTACTTCTACCTGCTTTTCTATTTCCCTGTAGCCTTTTTATAGTTTACTATAGAGAAAAGACCATTAATGCTGTTCCTAATATTTGGGAGTTGATTGACTCTGAAATATTATCTACTCCTGGGCATTGGTCATAATTACTTGACTCGGGCTTCAGTTGCTGTAGTTCCTAACACCCCAAAAAGGGAGGTCCCACTGTGGAACTAGGATGGACCCCATGGCGAGTGGCAAAGCTACCCCGGCATCAAAATGGAACAGTCTAGAAAGCATAAATGCATGGTCTTGATGCAAGCTATGACTTCAGAGACAGGATCCCTATGGGGAAGGACAAGCTGAATTGGCCTGAGATTAGTCTCAGGATTTATAGTAAAAGCCTTCCTTGCTCTCAGAGGCCAGAGAACTAAGTGTTGGAATCTTTGTCTCTTACTGTGTTTATCCAAACAAAGGGCAAGTATTGATAACATATACAGTTAGAGGGAAAGATAAAAGCAATGCAGATGCCCCTGGGAGACAGAGTGTCTCCTTGAGTTAATCTCCCCAAGAGAATTTCCTATATTTTATCTATGTAAATGATCAATCACACCTATGTCCTTATCTCAACCCTCCTCAGATGTATACTAGCAGCTCTGCATTAAATGGGCCATTTTCACCAAGAGGCTGTGGTCCCTGGCTCTCCATCTTTCTGCTAGGAAGGCCTGGGGAGGACTGGAGGTGGCTCTGGCCACTGAATGCACACATCTTCACACAGGGCCCGCCCCCTCCTCAATTATTTTGTGAACTCACACCCTGGTGTGACTTTTTAAAACATTTTGCTTAGTTCAATCTTGTTCAATAAAATGACTACGAAGGTAAATGTGTAAGTAGCACATTTATACCTTAAAGAAATTCATTAGGTTTCCTTCTCCTTTGTATCTCATTAACAGAATTTACAATAGAAAACAGTTGCCGGAAAGGGAGTTAGACATAATGACATGTTGATTCCTTTACTTATCCCTTTTACTAATAGAATGGAAATTCTCTACTCAACAATACATAAACATACACACTTATATTCAAAAAGGTTTATACATTTACTAAAAACACAAAGCCAAATAAATCTTTCTTTATAAAATCAATTCAATGGTGGAAAAATGCAATTAAGAGAAAAATTTCTTGAAATACTGTTAACATTTCACCTCTATTCAAAATGTTTATAAAAAATAGCATGAGCTCATTACAGAAAATAGAAAAGAATATAAAGGACATAAAAAGACTAATTACAAAATGAATATGAAGAAGAAATAAAATTATTTACACTTGTAAACATTTTGGTATATTTTCTTCCAATAAATTTTTCTCACTGAAAGAGTATGAGTGTACATCATGTGCGGTTGCCTTTACTTTACTTAATTTTATGTGGGAAACATTCTGACCTGTCATTAAATAATTCTGAAAACCATCTTTTTGAATGGACCAAACCATTAATTAACCGGTCTACTGGTACTGTAACACTTAAGCATCTTGATATTTTAATGATTTGAGTTCTTGCGTTTTTATCCACTTGTAAATGTTTTTAATAGGCAGCACTGCATTTACAGTCTGAACTGTAACAAAATCCATACACCAACATACTTTTTAAGGACATGAAGGCTCTTAAACTAAGTCTGCTGGTTTCTAATCCACATAAGGCTGCAAATGGCAGACAATGTCTTGATAGTCTACTCTAGTATTCAGTGTTGTCAACAGGTCAATTTAGTTTTTAATTCGATGTAAACAACTTCCTTTTGCCTATATGCTGTTTATCCTGGAATAAAGTGTGTGTGTGTGTTCTGAATTGCCTGGAAATGCAATTGAAAAGGAATTCGAGCAACCTTAAAGACAGTTTCTTTCTACTCCTTTTTTCCCCAATTATTTTCCACTAGAAACCTTGTAGCTTTTTAAATTGGTGCTTTCATAATTGCTCTATATATTTTGTTCACAACTGCAACATAAACACCTAGATTACGAGACCCACAGTAGATGTTCAATACATACTTAATGAATATTATACAAGTGAATTATTCAGAACTGCAGTAATCAATTATGTTCTTGACTGCCTTCATTAAAGGTTTCTCTATCTTATCTCAGCCCACTCCTGCGCTGTTTGCATGTTGCAGCTTGTTCTTGCTCAGAGGTCACATTCTCCAGGCTCCAGCAGACTCAGCAGATGTCTTTATTTCACTTGCATTTTCCACTCCAAACGCCATTTTCAGAACGCGGTTTTGCTTCTGAACCTTCAAAGCAGTGTTTATCTTTATCCCATGTCTTTCCCTAAACTGGCCCCACTCTTTTTAAAAAGTTCATCCTTGCTAAGAGAGCACGAGTCTCCAGCTGCGTCCGTTGGCCAAAAGTGTCAAGCATTTTTCAGCCACTGTAACATCAATGACAGACTGAAGACCCCTCCCCTGATATCAAACCCTAGGTTCCGAGCAAACATTCTTGTCACTGGGTTGGCTGGATCACCTGGACAGGGTTACTAGAATAAGCGATGTGATGCTTTGGAGCCAACACCTGACTCTGTGTCTCTTGTCACCAGGGACTACATATCCTAGAAGGCAATGCACAAGCCACTCCAATTGTGTCTGTGGTGCAAGTGCTGATGTGAGTGAGTGGGGGAGAGAGCACTCCAGCTCCCAAGGGTCAGACGGTGCTGCCCACCACAAGAACGATGACTGCTTCCAGCACCTGCGGGCACGTGTCACCACATGTGGTCCCCTAAGCACCAAGAATGAGCCCTGAGCATAGAGCCAGGAGAAAGCCCTGAATCCAGCAGGTATGGCCCCCAAACAAAAACAAACAACAAAAAAAGTAAATATAACATGATCTTCAAGGCTGTGTTTTTTTTTTAACCCATTTCTATTGATTCTGCCAATGATCTCTGGTGTTTACAGAACTATTGTAAAAATTTAATTTGAAATATCTTCACAGGGAAGGTATGACGAAAACCGAGTGTACTCTTGCCACTCTGAGAGGTGACACATAATTTTT